TTCTTTCTATAAAAAAAAGTAATGTTGAATCATATTTATCTTTAAGTTAAATAGTTTTTAAAGTTCCGTTTAGAGGGCATAGAAAATAGCTTTGCTTAGCCTCTGCCGGCACACGTACAGCGTATAAAAGCAGTCGTCACGCACACACATATTCCGTGCCGACCTCTGATTTAAATGGTTACTAAATAATACTATCGAAAGTAGGGGGTATCTGCTAGTCGGTAGGCCCCCAGAACACTTGACTGGCTTCTTCCCTTTGGCTTTTTCGCATCGCGTGCCCCACAGCCCAAACCCCAAAAACGCCACTCCCATTTATTTCAATATTGCTCGTATCAAATTTTATGCGTGATGTTTATTTCTCCAAATTTTTGGTAATTTTATTCTCGATTTTCGTTGTTGTTCCCTTGTTCTTTTGACACCGACTATTTATGCATAATTAAAATTAATGAACATATTAGGGGACTTCAAGAAGAGCGGGACGATGGGGCAGCCGAGGGGGAAGACCAACAATGGAAAAGGTGACCATTGTTTAGCCCGCAGGTAATCGAAGAAGTTGGCGCGCGTTTTGAATTACCTGAAACAAAAAGAAGAACAAAGCTAAAAAAAGAGGCGAATATTGTGACGCAAATTAAGGCATCCGAAAGCGAGAAAGAGGAGGCAATCCCAAGTCGAGCCCACAAATCGCTTAAAATATGTTTTCAAACTTTACCAAATTGTTGTATTTGCTATATATTTCAAGAAAATGAGAAGCTAAAAATGAGCAAATAGTTTATGTTTTTATTGGCTGACATTTTCTTCGTCACCCTTTTTTAATATTTTCAATTAAAAACCCCTCAGCAATTGCAATTCTCCCACTCCAAAACCCCAAATCCAATTTGCTCGGGCCACCGAGGAAAACCCGAGAGGAAAATTGAAAAGGCAGCCAAATGTGGGCCAATTTGGATGCCACCCGGCTAGTGGCAAAATGAAAATGGAAAACGAATAGGAAAAGCGACGACTTTTGTGGCCGCCTGCCAGCCAAGCACGAGAAAAACGAAAAACAACGCCAGAATATGATCAAAAATTACCATGAGAGTGTAGAGAGGGAAGCACAAGGTGTGCGATGCCTTTTTTTATTAAATTTTTTTTATATTTTTGTTTTTGTCTGCCTGGGCGTTTTTGTCGTGCGAAAAAAAAGAGATAATAATTTTTTATACGCTTGCCCCACATGCGAGAGTCTTGCATTTCCTGTTCGCTGCCAAATTAGTTGATATTTTCCTGTTGATGAATTTCATATTAATTTGCGCAATTTGCCAGAGTTTGTGTGGGCAGAAAAGCTTAAGAGACTCATTAGTCCAGGGAAAGGGGGTCAGGGATGCTAGGAAAGCCGTGGAAATGCGGGGAAATCTAACCTCTGCCCATTAGGGCGCCAACATGTTACTCAATTTCCGATGAAAAGCTGTTCGAAAAGCGATCGCAAAAGCTTTAAACTGGCAAATTACACTGGCAGAAAAGCTATGTAACACAAGTTTTAGTCGACGAAACTTCTTAAATCTAAAATTTAACCTTCAAAATTCACTTTTAGATCTGTAGTTTTTCTTCATTATTATATCAACTCTTTTTAGTTCATTCTCTATTTTTAGTTTTTAAGGTCTAAAAGCTTTTATTGATGATTTTTCTGCCACTGCAGTTGGAAAAAGAGGGCTAGTAAAAGGGAGGCCATATCGTTTGGTAACTTCAGAGGCCGGCATTTTGGCCTAGCTGCAGGGCGAGATGGAAATAGAGATGGAAAAGCCCAAAAACAAAAATATCTTAATGACGGGGCAGGAATTTCCCGAGGGGCGTGGGACAGCTGACGAATGTTTATGATAAATGGGCTCGACAAGCTTGTTAGGTGAAAAACCAGAAGACTGGAAGACCAGAAGACCAGAAGACCGGAGACCCGAAGAATTCCCCCCAAATGCAGACAGCAGAATTGCGCAAAGGCCAAGAAACGAAACGCAAATTGAAATTCCAAGATCAGAATCGAGGCAAACCAGAAAGGAGACAACAAATTATGGCAACGCACCACCAGGAAAACAAAAGCAAAGAGACGGCGCAAAAATTTAATGCAATGAAAATCAAATAAATTGCAATGAAAAAGCCAGGCCCAGTAAAAAAAACAAACAAACAAAAACAACAATGACAAAGATAGCAATCACTAAACATGGTGGGCCATAAAAAAAACAACGAGGGCAGCCCAAGACAAGTATTTGAAAAATTTATAATAGGCATGCAAATGAGGGAGACGGCGGGACTTTTGGGGGGCAATCGAAAATGGATAAGACTTGCCATGAGCCAAAAAAGCAGGAAAGGAAAATAAGGAATGCTATGCCGATCGCAGAAAGCAAGACAGAGAGAGAGAGAGATGGAAAGAGAAGAAGAGAGATCGCAAATTGAACGATATTCAAAACTGGACTCGAGCCACCCATCCAAAGCATCGAAAACCGCAATTCCCCCATCCAAATCCCAAAGCCCAGACTTCCCCCTCAAATCAGGCAACGCATAAATTTCGAAGCATGCTCTGTAAGCATGCTCTGGATAATACCCCGTTTAAATAAGGATACGTGCAAGTCAGACTTAAACAAATTTGCAAATATCTTATAAAACCATATATAAAATATAAAATCCATCCAAATCCCAAAACCCAGACTTCCCCCTCAAATCAGGCAACGCATAAATTTCAAAGCATGCTCTGCAAGCATGTTCTGGAGCATAACACTTAGTTTAAAAAAATATGTGCAAATATTTTATAAAACCATGAGATAGAATCTATATGGATTTATTTGGGAAAATGCAAAAGTGCATTATTTCCAGGGTATTTGAGTCTTCGATGCCCAAATGCACCCCTCTTCCTGGCTGACTGTCGTTTCTTATTTTTATATGAGTCTCTTTCTGCATTTTGCATTTGGCAGAATGGCGCGTACTGCTGTGAAATGTGAATGTGAATGTGGACGTAAATTTAAATGGGAATGTGGATGTCGATGGCTTTCACCCGTGGAATGCGAGCAGCGGGAAAATTGGCTCAAATGTCGTTTGCTGCAGGGCGGCTAATAATAATAAGAAGAAATGTGAAAATGTGAAAATGTGGAAAAGGGAAAAGGCAACACAGCCAGCCGGAGAAATTGCACATTAATTATGGCAAAAGTAAGAGGCAGCAGCAGCAGTTGGACATCTGTGAGATTCTCGAGACGCCGGTGTCAAGTTAAAAGGCTTTGCTGTCACTTATTTTCCGCTGCAGTTGCACCCATTTCTAATTTGCTCGGTCAGCCGACAAACAAAGACAAGAGTGAGTCATTAGCAGCAGCAGCGACATCAGCCACATGCGAGTGCCCCGCAGCAACATGTTGCTGCCGCGCTAAACTGCTGCCAATTCTGCACAAACGCCGATGCGAAATATAATATTTGCATCTGACATCGAAAATCTGAGGAACCCAAGAACAGAACGAAGATTCTATAGAAACGAAGATCACAATTTGAAATTATGCAGAATTTAGAAGGTCTGACTTCATGTGACTAGACCAATAAAAGCCTGTACTTGAAGTGGAATCTGTTTAAAAAATTTCAAATATTTTAGCCCTGGCTCCGCACTTAAATGCTTATTTTACATTTTTATTTGCGTAAATATGACATTGACTTATAGATTTTATTTGTTATATCTGCTTTGAAACTGGCTTGTGCAAATAATCAAATTTAACAGCCTTTATTAAGTCGTCATTTTAAATATTAAGCTATAAAGTTATCAATTTAAAAGCAGTCTATATAGAATTAACTTAAGTTGGCTCACATAAAATTCCAAATTTATTTATAACGTCGCAAACTTGATTCTATTTGCTGCCATTATCGCCTCATGATGACTGACAACCGCCATAAAAGTTATGAAATTATTCATGAAGAAATCGGGGGATAGGATCGCCACCTGAAGACCTCCCGAAATTACCCCAACGGATCTGCAAATGGCATTCCAAGTTTATTTATCTGTTTTGTGTCTGTTTTCATCGTTAATTTCTCACTTGGCTTTTAGAAAATTGGAAAATATTTATGAAAAATGACAACTGTCACTCACCAATACACACAAAAGTCGCTTTTTGGGGTGGCGCTCGTTTTATTTTTATTGTTCTCTTTCACATTTTTGTGCTGTTAACTTTTTGTTTTTTTTTTTTTGTGTGTGTTTTTGGGCCCTGTTCGACTTGGCGACTTTTCAAAAATTCTAGAAAAATTATAGCCCAACAACTGTGTGTGTGGGTGGGTGGGCGAAGTTCCAGAGAAATGTGAGAGAATCGCATAAATTAATTAAAAGTATTGGATGGAAATCGAAAGACTTCACCTCCTCTCGTGCCCCTTTCGTTATTATTTATGTGCTTTTTGGCATAATTTTTAGCCACTCGCTCGGAAATTTTGTATTTTCCGGATATTTATGACATTTGTTCACTTGGGAATTCTTATGTTCTCAGTCGTAGTCTTAGTTTTATGTCTTTTTAAATGGACAGGCAAACACTAAAGGGGAGTTTTTGGTTTAGCCCCAGGTACGAGGGGTATTCCTAAGTGGGAATTAGTTTTATGGTAAGAGATTTGGATGATCCAACGGTTTTTAAAATAGTCGAAACTTTTTTGCTAATATTAAATACAGATGGTAACCTTTTCTTTATCCTAAACGGGTTAAAGAGAACTGTAGAACTCAATTATTTAAGGACATAGGTAGGTAAATGTAAGATATTTATTTCTTTAAAAATATATAATCCAAAGAGTTTGAGTAACCCCAATGCTTCTAGTGTTATTCACACGCACGTGTCTGCTTTTTTTTTACCCATCCACTCTCCCAGTTTTGTGTTTTATTTATAGGCTTCGCATTTATTTGCTGTCGCCAAGCTTTTTGTGCCACTTTAGGCCTCAATTATTTTGAAATTCATTAAAAGTGTCGTCTATTTTCAATATTTATGTATACCCATAACGTTTTGATTCGTTTTCTGGCTTATTTACAGTTGACAGCGGCAAAATGCAGCTCTAAAGCAGCAGATCTGACTGGAAAAAGACGGCGATACAGCAGAAGAAAGAGACGAAGGGATTAACGAGTGACAAAAAGTACAAAAGGTAACTAAACTGCTAATCTTAATCCTGACCGCGGCGCCCACGCAACTCGAGAAAAGAATACAAAATATGATTGCATCCCCTTTTGTGCTCCGCGATTCCCAACCTTCAGTTGGTGGGCGTGCAGCTTCGATTCCGCACCCATATGGCCATAACCCTGACTCCAGTTTTGAACTGAAAAGTGACTTTTGGTTCTGGCTCCTAGCCCATACAAATCGTTTTTGGGGCCCACGCACTCTAGGGAAAATATATTGGGCCAATCAGGGAGGAAGGGGGTGGTGAGGTTGAGGTTCCCTCATCCCAACCTATCCTATTCGATCCCATCCCATCCGAACTCATTCCATTCTATGCCATCTTAAACCATTTCATTTCGTTCCAAGCCAGAATGGCAAAAGAAACAGGTGGGGCAAACCCATCCAGCTTCTTCATCATTGGGATCATTATGATCTCGAAGATCATCATGAGGATGATCATCCTTCTTTGAGTCGCAGTAGAAAATCCTGTTGGCTGTCGGTGGAATGCAGATTTCGAACTCGTTTACATGCGAGTTTCTTCACCTTCTGCGCCACCGCCCTGGCGCTTAACCTGCCCTCCAAAAAGACCATGCACTGAGAGAAAATAGTTTCTAAAAGAGATCAAATATGATAATAATTCAGGGTAATGTATTATTCTTGACATTGTTTTGCAAATGAAAGTTCTGCCTTTTGATGTTCTTTGTTTTATGTCATATTCTTTAAGGCCCCACGTTGGGCGCCACTTGTTGGTCTCAGAGGACGACTTAAAGGCCCCACTTTGGGCGCCACAGCGCTCCTGTTGTCTCCCTCTCTCTTTGCTGGCTATTTTTCTGTGTGTGTGCGTGTGTGTGTGGTGTAGCTTAGCTTGGCATCTTGTTTTTGGGCTCCGGTTCCGGTCGCGTTCAAAAGAAGATTTCAGCTGCTGCTTCTCCTCTCCGGCTGGCAAAACAGGTTCCATTGCTGAAGAATTTTCGCCGATATCTTCTGCCTGTGTGTGTATGTGTGTGTGCGTACAGTGAAGACCCTCCGCAGTGGAACACTGAAGCCCACTGAAGGGAATGACCATGACAAAAACCGGGTAATGGGAAGACTTTAAATTGTATTAGTGTCATGACATGTGATTTTAATAAGATTTAATAATAATATGACCGTCTTTCCCTCAGCAAAAAATGTAGTTTAAAATTCACCCAAGATAATTCAACGTAAATTATTTCTTAAGCCCACCATCGTGACTCTTAAGGGTGACTCTGCAAAAACTTCTGTTCCAATAAGTAGACCATCATTTTCTCTCGCGGAATTTAATAACCCAAGTTGGGTCTGCCTTAATCATCTGCCACTGTGATTGGTGATTGGGGGTCTTGTAGTTCGTGATTTTTCTATTGCTCCTTTTCTGCCAGCAACTGTTGCTGATGATCGCAATGATGATGATGAACTGGCTCTCAGGTTTTATTGAACCCGGTGTAGCAGCAACCACAAGACACAAAACACAAAACAACGACAACTTGTAGCAGGTGTTAGTGTTTTACAAGCTGTTAACTGCCGCTGCTAATGGCCAAACGCAGTAAGGGATCAGGGGGATCGGGATTGGGATTCGTATTCGTATTTGTCTTGGGGAAAGGGGTACCTCTTATGACAACAGCAATTCATATAGATAAATTTAACCACCATTGTAGATGTTGCTTCGTTACGCCTCGCACTTATTTAATGAACTTACACACTGTCTATGGCCTGAGATCTAAGACCCGGACCCAAGACCTGAGACCCGAGAGTCGAGAGCCGAGACCCGAGACCTTCTCCAGATCTGAAGACCCCTCCCGTCTTCCGCTATTCAATTCAATTGTCTCAAACACTGGGCGCCACGCCCAGGCCATCGCTGAATGGCTTTTCTAACAGTTTTATGCTAATTTTTGACAGGCAAACAGACAGCCACTAAGATAGTACACAACAAAAAACAAAAACACCATTTGAATTCATAAATTTCTCATATTACCAAGCTGAACAAAGAGGCAAAAGACTTAATCAAGATCGCTGATTCTACAGCTGTAGACTTATATGAATCTATCTAGTACTTTTGAATCTATATTAAAAACAAAATAGAGGTCAACTCTATCTTAAACTGCTTGTCATTTAATATAAGTATAGCAAAATCATTTTAGCTCATTAGTTGAGGGGAAAAACTTGGACTTTCTAATAGGTAGTGATAACCATAAATCATTTTCTGTAGGGCAAGAACATGTGCCTATTTCCCTTTTCTCAGTGTACCGCTGGTGATAGTTTTTTTCTGATCACGATGACGTCGCTCAACATATTTATTTACCATTAATTTTATAATTTGGCATCCCGCTTTGATTAATAACCCTTCTTAGTCGCGCCTTGTGATGTCCGTGAATAGATCGCCAAATGAGTCAACAAAAGGAGACTGTCGTTGTCCGTGGCTAATCAAATTAACTTCTGGCCCGAAAACAAAGAACCAATTAATTGTGCTGCCAACAGACTGTGGAGTCTCTCGATTAGCTTAACAAAATAAGGGAATATTAATAATATTTTTGAAAAATATGAATATTATTATTAACCTTAAAAACTAATAACCAGAACGGGACCATAGAAAATGCATTTAGACAATCCCTCTTCGAAAGAGATTTCCCAAATAGCCTCTGATATTTCTTATCCTCATATCCACTCACGATTATCAATGAAGCTGCATCGTAAATTCCCGAAATTCCATGACTCGTGATTAACTTAGTAAATCTTGAATGAAATCAGATTTTTTTTAATGCTAAAATAATAAAGTTAGAAAAACGCGATTAAGGACATGCAAAAGAATATTTCTCTTCCATAATAATAATCCGATGCCTAGTAACAAAAATGTAAAGCTTGTGACAAAAACTCCTAAAATCAAACTAAAATGCCTCTTTACCTCTGAGACTATTTCAATCGTGCACAGGAAAAAAAACATATCTTTAATAATATGGAATTTAAATACATTTTTGCAGTCTTAGTACTATGTGTACATAATATCAGAATGATTAAACTATTTAATCACATAATTTTATTTCCAATTTCGATATTCTGAAAAATATCTCTTTGACATGTTATTATAAGCATTTTTCTTTCTGTGTGGCCTGTTTTTCCCTTTCGGTATTTTCGAAAATATCCTGTTGACATGTTACCAAACCAAATTGGCCACCATATGATACACATTTTTTTATCAGTGTGGGCTAATGGCAGCGCATCTGTCCCAGACTTCTTCGTTCTGCTGGTTTATTGACTCTTTTTCCACTTTTTTTATGGATTCTTGCAGCCCAAGCTCCCCATTCATTTCCTCTGCTTCAGTTTTCAGTCGTTGTGGGGTTTTTGTTTTGTTTTTCAGTCTGTGTTGCTTGGGCCCAGGAATGCGCATTAATTTTCAACACACGCAACCAGCAACAGCAACAAGTGGATGCGGATGCGGATTGCTGAAGGGGCAGGCACAGAAACAGAAACCTGCGTCAATTTCGCGCTTTACTTTTGTTGTCAGATGTTTTAAATCAGCGACGAGCTGGTTTTTTTTCGACTCCGTGTTGCTGTTGCATTTGCGCTTCGATTGCCCGTGTGTAGGCAGTCCGGTTTGCAGTTTGCTCCTTGGGTTAACAAGTGGCCACCACCAGCAGCAACATCTGCAACAGCAACAGCAACAGCAACATCGGCAGCTGCACGCGCCTTCGGACCAATAATGACTATCAAATGGGAGCCGCTTTGCGATTTATGTGCGTCAGGAGTTTCGCTGCAGTCAGTCACTGCACTTGCAAAAAATTCGATATGATTTTCCACATTTTATAAATAATTATTTCATGTTTTTAAATTAGTCTTATTTAAGTGGTTTTCAAATAGCTTTATACATGGATATTTTGATATGTGCAACCTTTATATTTTACCCTCATATACTCAATAACTGAGATGTTATTTTTTTATCTGTATGAGATCGAGGATTCGAGGTGCAGGAAAAGGAGGAGGAGGAGGAGTAACCGCGGGGCAGGACCGAGGTGGATCCCTAACGACTGGGCGGCCGTTTTCCTGGAATTCCGCGCGCGCTTTTGTGTTGTGGCATCGTTTAAATTTCAAATCGAGAGCCCCCAAACTGTCGCAGGCCAGACGTTCGTCCAACCCGTTCTGGATCCCCATCCTCCCTGCGCTACCCTGCCCAGCCCTGCCCCCTCTTAAAAACAGGGCAGGGCAGCTCATAATAATGACACGCCATTAACAATCTGGGATCGGGACGACGAGTCCTTGGGTCCGCGGAGATGGAGATGGAGCTGGAGCTCCAGTTTAAATGGCACATTGCCTGGCCCGACTGCTTCCGTTGCCACGCCCCCTTTTTGTGGCAGTTGGCGAGGTAGCTGCCCCATCAGAAGGAGCAGGTTGAATGGTACAGTAGGGCCCAAGACACTGTCGCATTCCTCGCATGTCAAATGGTCAGAGATCTCTTAAGAACTGAGCTGGGGATGGGGTAATAGAGTCATCTGAGTTACGATGTACCGGAAATAACTTGGGGACCACAATATCATATTGAAACATATATGTCACTGTGGACGGCAGTCAACGTAGTGACAAAGCGCATTTATATATACAGGAAGAAATTCAAATCGTAACGAGTTATGTACCAATCGAAAGGTATCGCAAAATCTAATAGGATTTACATTTACCAGTTCAACTAACGATGCCTGAGCAGCGTTTCCTAACTCTATTTTAAGGTCCTGGGAACATTTAAATGGTTTTAAACAGCTCGGTATAAGAAATTTTGGTTTAAACACTTTTAGAAGTGTGCCGAATGAGAAAAATTTAGAAAGTAGTTTTATTAAGTAGATAGAATAATAAATTTTCGTCACAGAAGTTCATATCAGAACCTGTGGGTGTTGAAGGTGGTGCGTTCGTCACTTGTTTTTTACTTCGTTAAGAAGTGTTTTTGTTTGATATTATAAACACCAAGATAACAATCCTAACTTTCCCACATCGGTTCCTTTCCCTTCACAGACCTACTTCATAGATGGCTGGAATCAGGCTAGTTGTGGTCCTCCTACTGACCATCAGTATACACACCATCCTCGCCAACGACAGTGGTTCCTCTTCAGGAGCCAACTTGGGCGTTCTGTTCGAGCGAGCTCCCGAATCGGCGGTGGCTCCCAAGGGTGACGAGGTGGTCTTCGAGTGCGAACTGAATCTGAAACCGGATCGCCTGGAGTGGCGGTTTAGACGCAGTGGGTTCCCCGAGCCCGAACCCTATCGGTATCTCAGCCCCTCGGCCGGATACAATGTGACCAGCGGCAATGAGGGTCTGGCCTGGAGACTCCGAATCTATGTGAGTGCCCAAACGGCGGGCGACTACCAGTGCGTGGCTTGGTATGGTCCCGGCGCCCTAGCCTCCACGCCCGCCCGCCTGGCCCTGGTCTCGATTGCTCTGGATGGAGGTCAGGCCCCCGTGGGCTCCAGGGGCTCCATCCGCTGGAGTGTGGCGCCCAAGAACTGCCTGCTCATTCGTTGTGGCAGCGTTATATCCAATCCACCGGCCATCTGGAGCTTCTACAGGAATGGCAAAAAGCTTCCCCAGTCGGAGTTGCTTCCTGGAGCCGCGGGGGCATTGGTCTTGGACACGGTCACCGCCAAGGATGCGGGTAACTACTCGTGCGTTGCCACAAACTCCATAACAGGTGATGAGCTGAGACTCCCGCAAACAATTGAGCTGAGGGTAGACTACACGGATAGAACCCCACCGTACTTTCTGCAACGCCCACCCACCGAGTACTCAGCTCGTCCCGGGGAAACAGTGGTGCTGGAGTGTCCCGGCGTTGGGTCACCCAGGCCCAGAGTCATCTGGAGTAGTCCCAATGTGGTGGGGATTTACAATAATAGGAGCAAAATCCTGCCCTACGGTCTGCAGATCACCGATCTAAAGCCCGAGGATCAGGGATCCTACATCTGCATGCTGGATAATGGAATTGCACCACCCATCGATCACACCATCAAGTTGAGTGTCCTGCAACGTCCCACGATTTTGAGTGGACCAGCTGCCACTCTGACGAACGAGAGTAGTCCGCTGATTTTGGTGTGCTCCGCCGCGGGAAATCCGCAGCCGGATATTTATTGGCTCATAAACGGGGAAGATGCCACCAAAGATCCAGAGGCCATGGTGGATAACCGAAGTCTACAGCTTCTGCACGTTCAAAAACGCCACGCCGGCGTGGTTCAGTGCTTCGCAAAGAACATTTTGGGAGAGGTAAGTTTTGGAGTGGATGTTTTTCAGAGCTGTCAGGTCTGACCAAGCTATCGCAATCCCTTCCAGACCAGCAAGGGCAACATCCTGCGCGTGAATCCCCTGGAAATCACTGGCGAGGATGAAGAACCACTAGGCGGAGTTCCAATGTGGCCACTTCACGAATCGATCGGTGGCATGGGATCCTCGTCGACACCATCCGGTGGTTCCAAAAACAAGGGCGGCAGACGGAAGTACAAAGGTGAGTGCAAAACATGGCTATTTAACAAAAAAAAAAATAATTTGAAAATTGGTTAAAAATATTGGTACAATTAGAATTTCATGTTTGCGGATCAGTTATACAAACTACTTTCCACATTTTAGTAACTTTTTTTTTATACAATTTATTCATACTTTCAAATCAATACGTTTTCTAGTCTCTTAACATTAAGATCCCTCTTAAAAAAATTAACTTTTCTATGTTTTCATCGTGGATAAACTGGCCACGCCCACTATATTTTGCTGTGTGTTTTGTGTGTATGTATAATTGATTGATTGCGATTTACAATTAGTGATGGCTTAGTCGGTAATTCTGGCCAGCGGTGGACTAAAGTCGCACCAGTGTCCCCCGCCCCGCGACAACTATAAAAAAAACCTAAACAAAAAAAATTGTATGTGTGGAAAGTGAGAGAGTGGAAGTTGGGAAGTGGAATTCGGGATTGGGGATTCGTGATTCAGGAAAGGTGTAGATGGTAGTTTTACGCTTAAAACTAAGAAACTAAAAGCCCCCAGGGGTGAAGCGATCCAAGAAGGTATCCGTGTCCTCGTCATCCTCATCGGCATCGCTGATGTCCTCCAGATCTCATGAGTTGGAGCTCTTGCGCAGCTGTTCCTCCTCCTTCTGCAGGATGCGTATCTTCATCTTGAGCTCTTCGACTCGCAGTCGATGCACCTCCCTCATGTACTTGAGTTCATCCTGCGCCTTGTTGAGCTCAATGCGCTTGGCCTCCGTGGACAGCTGCTGCTCCTTGCAGCGCAGCTCCGCCTCGCGGATCTTGAAGTAGTTCATCCGCTCCTCGAAGCTGTCCGCTGCGGCAGTGGGCGAACTGTTGACTCCGCTGCCTACTCCTCCTCCCAGGCTCGTATTGTTGATACTCACGGAGGTGGCTGTTGATGTATTCACTGCCGCCGAGTTCCCAGAAGCCGATGATGCGGTGGCCACGGGCACTGGAACCGCCGTGGGCACCGTCGTCGCTGCCGTCACCGTTGGCAGGGCGCTGAAGGTGAACGTGGGTGTGGCAGCCGATAGTTGCATCTTGACTGCCGCCGCCGCCGCTGCTGCCTGTTGTTGCTGCTGGACGGCAACGGCCGCCTGTTGCTGTTGCTGCTGCTGTTGGTGAACTTGGACGGCGGCGGCCAGCTGCTGATGCTGAGCGGCCGCTAGCTGCTGCTGGGCGAGCTGTTGAGCCTGCGCCTGGGCTTGAGCCTGTGCCTGCGCCTGAGCTTGGGCTTGAGCCTGGGCCTGCGCTTGAGCCTGCTGTTGCTGCTGAGCCTGGTACTGGGCCAAAGTGATCTGCTGCGGCTTGATCTCGCTAATGATCTGCTGGTTGTAGCCGCCGGCGGTGATGGTGGCCATCGGGTGCTGCTGCGGCGCGGCGGGTATGGTGTGGATCTGGGTGGCTAGACAAGAAGAAGGTTTTAGTTGGAAGAACTATCAAACGTAGGTTTCCTATCTCACCAGTACCCTCTGCTGGATGCTTGATCTGCAGTATGATCTCCTCGCGGGGCCGCGTTGTCTTAAAGTGCAGCAGGTCGTTCAGGGTCAGTTTCTCAGCACTGATCTGGTCTACGTTGATCTGGTGGGTGTTAATCATGGTGGCATTGGCAGCTGCCGCCGCCGCCACAGCCACCGCGTTCACCTGTTGCATTTTCTGCATCTCGGCGGCAGCTGATTGCACTTGAGCCTGCGCCTGAGCCTGGGCTTGGGCTTGGGCCTCCTGCTGCTGTTGCTGCTGCTCCATGGGATCCTCGTCGATCTCGCTTACATCGTTGGCATCCATCTCGATTTCGTCGAAGGTGTCCGCCTGGGGATTGTGCTCGGAGGCATCGGGACTGATCTGGTACTCCGGCTCCACCTTCACGCCTTCGTGCTGCTGGTGCAACTGCTGCTGTTGTTGCTGCTGCTGCTGTTGCGGCACCGCCGATGCGACGGACACGGATACGGAGCTAATCTTGGCGCTGCCAGAGTTTAGATTGGAGGAGCTGCCGTCCCTGTACGGATACTGTTTGCGAAGTCTGGCAAGGGAAAGGGGAGATCATTAGTCAGGAGTTTTTGATTTGGATTGGATGGGGGATGGAATGATGGAAATTTTCGAGGCAAGTTCCGAGTGCCTCATCTACACCATGTCGCACCTGGAGTTGAGCCAGAACTTTTGGATCTGCTTGATGTTTCGCATGGCGCTCACATGCGGATGCGAGTTGAAGTCCTTTACGATCTTGTCCCACGTTTCCCGGACGGAGTACTTGTTCCGCTGCTTCTTTCGGTGCTTAATGTCGATGACCTCCTCGTGCAGGTGGAACAGGGTGTACAGCACCTCCTTCTCCTCGGCGGTGAAGCGCGGCGTGAGTGGCAGCTGGTTCTTGGCGGACGCACTGCCTCCGTTGGTGACCACCACGGTCCCACTTCCGGTGGAGCTCTGGCCTGCATTTCCGCCGCCGCCACCGCCATCGGAACCAGCCCCGCCCCCTCCGCCTGCACCGCCCCCTTCGCCCTGCGCCGACATTTGAGTTTGTTTTGAGTTTTTCACTTGAGTCCCTGCTTCTTCTTCCCCTCCCTCTTCACGCTATACACTTATACACACACAGCCACTAGCACACGCACACACACAGACGCACCAAAGCGCGCGCCCGTGCGTTAGTGTGCGTCAGTGTGAGTCGAGTCTCTTTTCTTAGTCGCCGTTTTGCTTTCCCCCGCACTCGACATACGGCCCCCAATTCTATATTGCACTTTATTCGCTAAGATGGTGGTAAAATATTTGCACTTAATAAATATTAATAAATAAACGCAAAGCGCCGCTCAATAAATAAATCAACACGCACACATTTTCACTCGAAATCAGTGTGACCGCGGAGTCATCGAGCAAGTATACCGTGCTGCTCTAAGCAATATACTTTTAATACCAGTTTCTCATAAACGGTCATACTGAAATGACAGGAGTATGTCTCTGCTGACCACAGCGGATGCACCCTCCGGATACAGCACAGACATCCTCCTGATATAGCGGAGACACAAGTGGTTAATTTTATTAATACCATTTTCATTTTATTTAAATGTAGCACATTTTGTCGCGATGCCCCTAAAAATATGATGTATTTTTAGTAAATCTTTTATGAAAAAGGAGCATACAAAAAATAGAAAAGAGTAGCAACATAACATTTATTTTAAAACTGCTAACCGAATGCTACAAAATAGTAATATTATTATTATAAAAAATAAATATTCGCCAAATGTTTGTCTAAAATAATAAAAACTTCAAAATGTATACATTTTCTTAAATTACAGCCAGCATGGTTCCCCCATCGCGACCCAATGTCACTCGCTTGTCGGACGAATCCGTAATGCTGCGCTGGAGTGTGCCCCAAAACTCGGGACTGCAGATTACCTTCTTCAAGGTGCAATATCGCCGCTTAGGTGACGGGAAGAATCGGCGGGAGAACTGGCAGACGACCAGCGACAATATACCGTACGGAAACAACTACGGATCCGGATCGGGATCGGGAAATAACCACTGGCGACAGCGGAACAGGGACCGGGTGTACGAGATGGGCAATCCGCCCAAGAATTTCACATCTTCAGTGACGGGACTGACCGCGGGGAAGTACTATCGCTTTCGAATCGTGGCGGTTTATTCAAACAATGACAATAAGGAGGGGAACACTTCCCTCAAGTTCTTCCTGCAAAACGGAACGGCCAAGTCGAATCTACCAGTTCCCGAACTTCGCGAGGTGGAGACCCTTAGCGAATCCACCGTAGTGCTCCATTGGTCGCTGGTTTCCTTGAGCCAAAGTGAGGACATCGATGGTTATTATGCCTACTATAGACCAGCGGATTCGGCTGGGGAATATCTGAAGGCCACGGTGGATGGTGGAAGGAGCAGGAGCTTCAAAATAGATCTCCTTCGTCCCGGCACCGCCTATGAGTTCAAATTGCAGTCCTTCAACTCCGATGCAGCCTCTGAATTCAGTGCTATAAAACAAGCCAAGACCAAAAGTGAGTAATTAAAATATTACTCCTGTTTTACTAAATTTAATTTACACTTTCCTTTTTTTTTAGATCCCCATGATCATACTGCGTCCACTTCATCCACCCCAGTGACTGGAAATAAGACAGCGGATCAGCAGCAGAACTCCATGTATCCTGTGATTGCAGGAGCTGCCGGCGGAGGACTTTTGCTCCTTATCGCTTCCTTGGTGGCCTGCATGTGTCTGAAGAGGCGGGAGAACAGCCAACCCGAGGGTAAGTTATACATAGTGTCAGATGGTAATCATTATATTAATGTTATACCCCCTCCATAGATGAGAACAAACCGCAATTGGAGCACATCCAAGCGGACTTTGTGACCTCCGCCGTTCTAGGAGTGGGCGGACACCACAAGAGTGGCGATGTAAGGCGCCTCAACGGGGTGATTCCCCGGATGAACATCACGCCCAATCCGCTGGCCCAGGAAACGGGCTCCGATAAGGTAAGCCATGCACTTCCGGGACCTAAACCGAGCCCTCTTTTCACACAGCTTCATCCAAAACTTTTCGCTGGTTGGTTGGTCAAAATTCAAAATCAAATTCAAATTTCAAACTGAAATTATTATCACCCCTCCGAATGTGGTATCTCTGTCTCGCTTGCCCTCTCTCTTGCTGTCTCTGTCTCTTTCGCTTGGTTATTCTGCCAAATCTGAAATCTCTGGTAGAGATTCAATTCGATCCGTTCCGATCCGCCCGCCAATGCTCGCGTCCAATGTTCCAGAACCGCAACGTGATGGAGCTGCGTTTCCTGCCGCCGCTGGCGAACGGAAATGGAAATGGACCCGGAAACGGAAATGGTAATGGCAACTGCATTGCCAGGGATCTGGCCCTGGAGCAGCCGAATGCGGAGGAGCAGCTCGATGAAGACGGCGAGGAGGACACGGGATTGCCGGCGGTTGCCTCCTCCTCCTGCGAAACTTTGGAGGCTTGCGACGAGGCAGTCAAGCTGAATCTCCACCAGAAACTCGACAAGGAGCCGCAGGATCCGCAGAACCTGGAGGCACCCAGCAAGCCGCTGCCCCCGCTGCCCAAGAAACCCACCAACCATGCTGGCCAAGTAAGCCTGTCGTCGAGGTCGAAAATAATAGCACACGGAGATTATCAAAAATACTATTTGACCCATAATTAAACTTAATATGGTGATTTTAGTTCAAGTGCCGTATGCTATTATTTCGCCTCTTCCGTGAACCAGGAAAAGCCAACCCCCAGCCGAGATTGTTTTGCCCTCATTGTCATTCTCATTCACTCAAGAAACAGCGATCCACTCATCTTATGCATCACAATGATAAATGTATCTTTGAACGCTTCACAGACCAACTCTGGCCTGCATCAGAATGGCCTGCATCATGCCCAGCCGTATCATCCGCCCGGAACTCCCACTCTGTTGCACAAGCGGATGGATTACCACCAACAGGCGCCGCCAGTGCCGCCGCACTCCGCCTATTACCAGCAGGCACCCACCCATCAGCCCTCGCCGATGATGGAGCGCAGCGTGAGGGGTCACCAGCAGCCAGGAGGAGGTTACCATCACGAGGAGGGCACTCCCACGCCAACGAGGATTCCCTCTTTGAGGCGACAGCGACGCACCTCGGGCAGCCAGCAGCAGCAGCCGGTGCAAAATAGCCACAGCAATCTCAATCTGAATCTGAGCCACCATAACAACAACAACAACAACCTGCCGCCACACCACCAGCACCTGCACCACCATCCCGGTCATCCGGGTGGCCTGGTGGGCATACCCATCGTGCCAGGCAGTCCCCGAGTCCAGAGATCCCCGATGCCCAGCAGGGCGATGATCAAGAGGACGCGACTGGGCAGCCACACGGACAACATCTCCTCGGGCAGTCTGAACAGTATTGAGGTGTGATGGCTGCATGGTTAGGTGGCTTCCAGGAGGAGGAGCAGCCGCAGGAGCTCTAGAACCAAGCGAAAATACAGTTCCCCCATAAAAACTACAGACAGCTTCAACTAGGTTTAAGGAGCCCATACTCGAAGTGTATTATTATGCTTATTCATAGAACAGGCCGGCAGAGCATTAAAAAAACACTCGAATAATAGTTGTTAAGTTTTCCAAATCATTTTTGATACATAAAAGTAGTTTTTGAGCTAGAACCAAAAATTTTAATTTCGCTTGAAAGGAACATTTCAATACTTTGAAATTGAAAGACCAATTTTTTGAAACAAAACGATTTGAAGCTTAGTCGTTCAACGCTAAAGCTAAATATGTTTCAGTATATTGAATAATCAAATAATACAAAAACATAATTAATTTAATTCGAATGTTGCTGATACTTGTTACTGCCGGCCAGATAGTCAGTAGAATTATTAATTTTTATTTTTTTTACTGATTGACTTAGTATATAGATTTGCGCACCCCCCCAGGAAGCAAAATAACAAATTGACTAAGCCCTGTAGTATAGTGTTATTTATTTATTACCGTGTAAGCGTCAACGACTCGAATTGATTAGTTCAATTAGACTAAGCACTCTAACTAGGCAAACCACTCTTGTAAGGCAAACCAACTATTTAGCGTTAATGTAATACATTTCGAAATGTGACTAATCACCCGACATTGTGTCGTGAGGACACCACCCACAAAAACCGAAAAGAAAAGCATCCTAAACTATTTTTAAGTTCATAGACAGCTGAGTTTAAAACGTATATATGCGAATTATGAAATTAAAAAATTGTAAATCCTGACAAATTTGTTTTTATAATGGTAACTCAGTTTTGGAACTTGAATGATGAAGGTGTTTTATTTAATTTTGAAAATACCGCGTACATCTGGCAACTCTAGTGTAGCGAAGACGCCCACCGCAGTTAGCGAGTACACACACCGCGTTTCCCGCACTTATCGATAACGATAACAAAAACAGCTGACTGTCACATTAGAAGTGAATTGGATTTTGGATTATTTATTGTTTTTAACTATTAATTGTTTAAATTGTTTAAAATAACCAACTAGACAGCTGCTAAACACGCTCCACGGCTCCAAGGAAAGGCTGCGAACACGTACAAGCTGAACCAAACACCTCAAACATGAATTTCCTGCGGCAAACTTTGGGCATTACGAAACAGTTGACTTCCAATGGTAAGTGGAAATTAAACAACTTAAAAGCTGAACTATGGCTATGTTTTAGTAGTATTTGTGAGGTTGAGATCTGACTTAGAGGGTCCAGCCCTTCCGAATCCATGACTGGGCGGTTTTTGCAACCCTTGCCCTTCGTAATATGAAAAATCAAACAAACCGGGAGGGCCTAAAAGTGTTTGTTTTTCCCCGCTTCTCACACATATTCACAGATCCCAACTGCAACTCTTTATGCAGAGCGCGTGGCGGCCTCACTTTTCGCCTGCGAATGTTTTCACTGCCCGTTTCACATGCACATTCCGAATTCCACAACTCCCCCGCTTTTAATTGCAAAAATAATTGAAAACCTGTCACCCCGGCAATAAGAACGAAAAGCGCAAGAACAATGGACATGTTGGACCGCAAAAAAAGGTCACAGGTCGCAGGACAAAAGGTCTCCAGGATTTGTTTGTCCGGCAATCCTGCATATGGAAATTATTACCTGCCGCTTGTGTGTGGCATTTGGCATATTTATAATTGAAAACGTTGGATCCTGCCCCTTTGTTTCGGGCCAAAAAGGCTTGACAGGATTTGGAATCGCCGGTTTGCGCGTCATTTGGCTGCAATTATTGTCGCCAGTCGCCGACTCTCGATTTTCACAGCGATTAGCCGTGTGACAAAGAAACCATAGCCCAGAACCAGCGGGCATTGTCAATCACTGACCAACTGTCTATGAATATGACCCTTTTGTTCGCATTCTGGGATCGCATCGGGTACAGTCGTGCCTTAGATCGGTTTGTTATTTTAACTGATCACTTCTGCATTCAATTGAGTCCATACTTGCAACCCAGCCAATCCCGAAGCACACTTTTCATGATCATATCCTACCATCCTAGCATTTTCTATGATAGCTGAGAAGTATGTACACTTTAAGGATCTGATCTTAGCCCATCCCCCATTGATTGGGAACAGAAAGCCTGTTCAATGCATGATTTAGAGTGAAATGGGTAATGAATTATATGTAATTCGCTAGCATATCTTCCAAAAATGTCTGATAAATGTAATATATAAAACCATATGCATTTTGTCAATGTTTCTGGTACACCCTTGAATAGGTTTTTTTATATTTTGAGAAACACTTATAACTTTCTCTGACTTTTGCAGCCATCCAGAGCAGCTTTGAGACCGCCATGCGTGGAATGGCCTCGCTGCAGCAGATGCACCGCAGTGGGCCGCACATAAAGACGCGACCGCCACGCCAGCCACTCGACGGCAAGCCCTTCGCCAAGGGCGTCGTCCTGAAGACGCTGATCAAAAAACCCAAGAAGCCCAACTCGGCCAACCGCAAGTGCGTCCTGGTGCGCCTTTCCACCGGCAAGGAAATGGTGGCCTATATCCCCGGCATCGGGCACAACCTTCAGGAGCACAACATCGTCCTGTGCCGCGTAGGCCGTCTGCAGGATGTGCCCGGCGTAAAGCTGAAGGCTGTGCGCGGAGTCTACGACTTGGCGCACGTCATTAAGAAGAGCCAATAGTTGTTCATACATATAAACATCTCCTATATCACATTGTCCAAATGCATAACCCTACAATCAAGAAACGGCTGCCTCGTTGTGATTATTGTTTGCTTTTTACGGAAAATTATGCAGCTCAACCGGATTAAAAAGTAAGTAGCGACAAGTGAACAGGAACAGGATCTCCTGTTGTACTGCAATCCTCCGGTTGGCTGCATCCTCGTAATCTTAAGTCAACAGGGCTTCGCGTCATCTTTACCTAAGAATACCTAAGGTCCTCGGGGAAAAAAGGTTTTAAACGGCATTTTACGCTTTGGCTAGCAAATCCTTTTGCCCGAATCCTGTTTGCTTTTTAACGGAATTGCCAAATTTTCTGCCAAATAATCGTTAGCTGAAATGGGCATCTGTCCAGTCCGCCCACTCTTCACAGTTGAGCATTTCAATAGAAAATCCAAGTAGTAGTTGGTTCTTCTTGGGTACCCTGCTGGGTGACTGCCGAAAATTAGCCACGAAAATTGATTCTTTCAAAGTGCATAGGCAGAGGAAGATACCTTTCAGAGGTGTTAAAATGTGATTAAAACATACCGATTGGCAAGTTAAAGCCAGGGAAAGCTTACCCGCTTAGTTTGTTGGGCAATACGCTTAAAATTGTTTGCCATGTTATTTGTCATCTATAACTCTGAAGATTCTTCAATAATATTTTTTTATCATTATACAATACTATCTTATGGCTAAAACTGCAAGTTAATAGAAAGTGTTTTAATAGAGCTACAGCAGCAGATATGATATGATTAGTTAATCATATCATATGAACTTCTACAAACATGCATTTAAGGTCTCATGATATCTTAAGTCGTTCACAACTTATTGACATTTAAGTAATGTGTTCAACTCTATTCACAGACCTATTACAGACCTTCTGTTTGCCATAATTACAACAAACTCGTAGTTATTAGGTTATATAAAAAACGATTGATAGAGTTCCTATAGATAGAGTATTCTTCACAAATTGTACAATTTTTCGCTTAAATTTAAAAGAATCTTTTTTACCGTCATAATTTCTGTGTTTGTTGGAACCTTTGTTACATTGGCTAGCCCACAATGTCGGTCCCAATCAAAGTCAACGGAAGGGTGTCCTGCGAAGGATTCACCGTTAACCCATCCACATACAAACGTAGAATCGCAGAATCAGTTAAGCAAATACTCTGAAAGATCCGTTTTATGTAAGCCGACATCGAGGCTGTCGCCATGTAGATGTCCTTTTTTCGACATACTTGGATAAATGACATTTGGGTGACCACAGCAATCCTGCTTCCTCTGTCCGCCAGACATTGTGTCAACAGAATGCCAGAAAGGCAGGAGACCAGGACCATGGGTGTACCGTTAGTCCCGACCGTATATCCTTAGTCGTGCTGCCTGATTGAGCCATTATGACAGCAGGTCCTTTGTCCCCGGATCGCTTCGTCTTCGCTTTTTTCTGCTGAGTCAAGTTGTCCAACATTTTTGGGACTCGCCTTTGTTTGCCAGCGTGCATAATTTTTATCAATAAAAACGTCATTGTCCAGTGTCCAGAAAAAAAACATATACGAGTCCTGCTTCCGTTGAATCTCCGATGAGTATTAGCTGCTTTTTCGTCAGTCCTCATTGTCCTTCGTGTTAACTGTAAAATTTGGCATATGAAAAATGACTCCTGGCCTCACGGATTACTTACTACTGGCCAATCATCGAGGCGTTCACACGTCTGTGGCTTGGCCAAAATGAATTGGCAAAACATCTGAGAAAAACGACATTCAAAAGTTTTTATCTCAAACGAATTGTCCGTCTCGAATCGCAAATGCTTAAGAATAATAATTGAGTTGTATTGAAAATGGGCTGACGTTTCTAAATTTTAGAATTATTTTTAGTTTCAACATTCCATAAGATTCGGTTGGGAACCCAAAACTGTTCTTATAAATTTCATTACATGGGTAATTGGATCCCGATTTAGAAGTGGGATGCCTCTATGAGCTTGTGGTTGAATTTTCTAACGATCTACACTAAAATATTACCTTTAAAAGAAGGTCATAATTTTAGCCTGTTTTCATGTTACTTTTTTCCGTATTTCTAATAGGTTTCAGTATTGGACCCCAAAACTCCACTTCTAGACTCCATAACTTGAGTTATTGGATCCCGATTTTGATGTGGGATACCTCTATAAGTTTGTGGTTGAATTTTCTAATGATCTACATTAAAATATTACCTTTAAAGGATGTTCAAAATTTTAGCCTGTTTTCATGTTACTTTTTTCAGTATTTATAATGGGTCTCAGTATGGAACCTCAAATCTGCACTTCCAGATTCCATAACTTGAGTTATTGGATCCCGATTTTGAAGTGGGATGCCTCTATGAGTTTGTTGTTGAATTCTCTAACAATCCACATTAAAATATTACCTTTAAAAGAAGGTCATAATTTTAGCCTGTTTTCATGTTACTTTTATCCGTATTTCTAATGGGTTTCAGTATTGGACCCCAAAACTCCACTTCTAGACTCCATAACTTGAGTTATTGGATCCCGATTTTGAAGTGGGATGCCTCTTTGAGTTTGTGATTGAATTTTCTAATGATCTACATTAAAATATTACCTTTAAAGGAGGTTTAAAAATTTAGCCTGTTTTCATGTTACTTTTTTCCGTATTTAGAATGGGTTTCAGTATGGGACCCCAAAAATGAACTTTCAGACTCCATAGCTTGAGTTATTGGATCCCGATTTTGACGCGGGATACCTCTTTGAGTTTGTGGTTGAATTCTCTAACGATCCACATTAAAATATTACCTTTAAAGGAGGGTACAAATTTTAGCCTGTTTTTATGTTATTTTTTCCTGTATTTCTAATGGTTCTCAGTATGGGACCCCAAATCTGCACTTCCAGATTCCATAGCTTGAGTTATTTGATCCCGATTTTGACGCGGGATACCTCTTTGAGTTTGTGGTTGAATTATCTAACGATCCACATTAAAATATTACCTTTGAAGGAGGGTACAAATTTTAGCCTGTTTTCATGTTACTTTTTCTTGTATTCCTAATGGGTTTCAGTATGGGACCCTAAAACTGCACTTCTTGATTTCATAACTTGAG